ATATAATATATATAAATATAATATATAAAATATAAAACTCCCTGAATCTATGATATAGTAATATATGTACTTCTTTATAAAACACTGAATAGCAAAACACAGCATGAATCGAATACACCATAAGTTCAAGTATGATGAGTGACATAAGAAACTGGTAACATGGGCTGTTTCTGGGATTTCGAGATACCTGCAACAACTTAATGTGATGTGAGCATGTGACTTTAGTTGGTGAGATCATTGTTCTCTACAATCATATCTTAAATCAGCACTACATTTTTGTTATAAACTTCTATCCAAGTTGGTGGACTCCTTGAAATCTACCCACAGACACCCCTCCCCCGCAGTCTACACCAGTCAGGCAAAGGAACAGTTTGTAAACACACTTCCACAGAGCCGACGCACTTAGAGCAGCTCCCTGAGCATGCAGACTTCCCTGATTTGTTAAAACTCTTGCTCTTGCCCCTCTTCCCTCTCTCAGTGAGCCTGCTCCTTCCTTCTTCAGCTTGCACTGCTCCCCAAAAGACAGCATCCTCTCATTCCTGAGCTTCTTCCTCAACATATGGCCCTACTTACTGCTTCCCTACAAGCACCTCTCTCCCAACTGCTCTGGGCATGAACCACTCCCTCAGGGAGCCCCATCTCTCTCTACAAGGTCACCTGTTTCCTCCATGTTATGTCCCAGGGAACTCCCTATTCTCGTGCAGAGCACTTTTCATTTAAATGAAATGTGTTTCCTTAATTATAGCTCCTTCCTCCAAGAGCCTTGACTATGTCCATACACATCACACTTGTGCTGCTGTCCCTGGCAGCCTTACTTTGTCTAACCCTGCAGCTCAACAGACCCAGGGGTTTAAGAGTGGGGCTGCTTCCTCTTGACCTTCAGGGCCACCATGGAGACCCTGAGCCACCAGTGTCTCCACCCACTTTCACCAACTGATATTTGCCTGGCTTCTTCCCTTCATATCCTCCACCCTCCCTGCCCCCCCAAACAAACAACCCCAAAAACCTCAAGCCGAAAACCAAGAACCCGCAAAAAACCCCAATCAAAGGGTTCCAAACCCCCCCATTTGTGACTCTTCTACATCAACTACAACCTAGCAAAGTTATGCCTTAATTTACAGCGTCTTTTCAAACTTAGGTCACAACCCATGAATAGGTCATGGAATCTACTTTATGGGTACAATCAGCACATATCTGAGGAAACAGAATGGAACAGAAAAGAACAGAACAGAAAACACTGGCCACAGTGAAAGCACGCACAGACACACACACAGACATGTATCCTGGCCGTGATGTAAAATATATTTCTTTCTGTGGGACATGTTTAAAATAATTAAAAGCCAGTTCCTTACATATTACCACATATTCAGAGTCTCCTGGTACTTCTTCCTTATCTCAACCTCCTCATGTTCTAATTCATCCAAGCCCCGGAACACCGACTATTCTCTCCTTCCCTGTGGACTCTTGGCCTGCCTGCACTAGAATTCGTCTCCAATCAGGCTTATAAGTTAATTCAAAGACACTTTCTCCAGCATCCTGGAATAGCTTGGAATTTTACCACATTATCCACTGTATACTTTTTTCATTTCCATTCCTGGGTGATTAAAAACTGTTTGGGAGGCATACTTTTAAAAGGGGAGTTAAGCGTACTGCAGAGCAGTTTGAATAGTATGCTGTTTATCTAATTTTTTTAAAAAATGGAGATGGGGGACCAGGGCAGAGAAAATACATATGTCATTTCTGTTATGAATCTCCAAAAGGAGATATAAGAAAACTAATGACATTAGTTGTTTCTGGTTGAGAAAAGCTAAGTGGCAGGGGCAGATAGAGTTTTCATTAAGCAGTTCTTTGTACCTTTCAAATTTTAAGCCATGTGAATATATTAAAAGCAAGTTACACTTAAAATATATATTTATATATCAAAATATATATTACATATAAAAATAAACTTAAGAAAAATAAAACACTGTTTATGCAATTCAAGTCAATCTGCCCTTTGCAAGTGGCTGAACAATGTTTTAATTTGCCTTCCCTGACTTTCCAGAACCTTCCCTTATCAGATATGCAAAACCTTGTCCTTTATTAATTCCCCGAGTGCACTGTCTGGCCTCCTGTGGACCAAGACTGAAGCTCCCAGTCTGGAGCGCTCATTCAGCCTCAGTTTTGCCTACTGTATATCATGGTCACGGCGCACTGTCCCTCCTTGTAAAGCTAACCCTCCTCTGAGGCCCTAAGCCCTTTGGTTCCCAGGCCTTCTCCTCCCCCATCCTCTGCATGCCTTCAGCTCATCTCAGTCTGCTACTTAAATTCTTGGTGTCTTGGGGCAAGAGGGGAAGGGGAGAAACAAAATGGCTGAAATTGTATGGGGTGAGATTATGGATATTCTGTTTTCATTTCTTCTTTTATTGTCATAATATACAGGTAATAATATCATTCTACAAAAATGGGGTCACCGTGGCTTCCTCCGGTCAATGTGTGCGTCTCCTTCCTCAACTTCCCTGACCTCTGGCCTTACCTCTGGCCTCTCCAGGGAGACTGAGAGTAGGGCCCCAGGCTTCAGTTTCTCTTGCTATTCCATAAAGTACTATTAATACATAAGCAGCTGTTCTGTACAGAGGCTAACAGCATATGCAGAGACAACAGGAAAGACCTGAGTTTGAATGTCAATCCAACAGAATACTAGCCATGTGACCCTGGGCAAATTACTCCCCTGCAAAAGTCTCAGTTTCCTCATCTGTAAACTAAGATTAATAGCAGGTTAACCTCATAGGGCTGTTGTAGGGAACAAGTGCAGTCAAGCTTGGCATATCCTGAAAGGGAGTGTGGAATTAAACCCTGGAGAAACATTAACAAAGCTGCACTATCACCTACCATCCCACAGCCACCACCCCTTTCTGCAGGAGGGCAGAGGTCTGACTATTCTTATATCCACTTCTCTCCCTGGTGAGTCAGGTCAACACCACCTAGCTTAAGTCAACATCATGAGCCCATTCCCCTCTCTTGTGATCTATGTAGGCATATGCATGTGACCAGTTCTGGCCAATGAAGAATAGAGAATTCCAGTGAGGGGGCTCTGGAAACGTCCGCTTATCCCTAAATGACACAGGGTCACTTGTTCCTTCTGTTGGATGTTGTGATATGTGTAGTGGGATGGCTAGAACTGTGACAGCATCTTGTTACTTTGATTCTAATAAAATACCAAAGTGATAGGAAGTCCCCTCCCACATGGTACCAGAGCTGGTCTGTATGACCAGTAAAATATGGCAGAAGCAATGGCATGTCACATCTGAGATCAGGTTATGGAAGACACTGGCTCCCATCTCAAGCCGCCTCTCTCTCTTGGATCACACAGTTTGGGGAAAGCTAGCTGCCACCGTCATGAAGGTGAAGAGGCCTACATGGCAGGGAACTGATGCCTGATGATCTGAGTGAACTTTTGGGACCAGATCCTTGATTGAGCCCCAGATGATGGCGGCCCAGATAACAGCTCAACTCCAACCTCATGAGAGACCCAGAGCCAGAATCACCTAGCTAAGCCACTCCCAGATTCCTGAACCAAAGGAAATGTGACCTGTTTCTGTTTTAAGGCACTAAATTTTAGTATAATTTGTTTCACAGCAATAGATAACTAACACAATACCCTTGTTTATAAGAAATAGATAATTGTTTTCCAAATGTTTTTGACAATGACCCACGTGAATAAACACATTTTAAATCATGACTCAGTGGACATATATGTAGAACTGAAATAAAAATTTCAAAAACTGTAGTTATTATTTACAGTGCATTCTGGTATTTTCTATTTTATTGGAACTATATATATACTGGGTGTTAATTTTTTTAAAGAAATCATTCAGCAGATTTCTTTATTAATAAGAGTAAAGATAAAGAAAGGCAACCTTTTGAAGACCAATTCTCCATGGCACTTCTACATGATTTGGGACAGCTCTTATTCCAGATTAGATTTCCAAGGATGTTTGTATAGCAGAAAGCCTGGAAGATAGAGACAGATTCCCCTTCCTGGACAGATGGCAGCTTTGTTCCTGACCAGAATAACAAAGACAATGTCTTCTTCCTGCACAAAGTTGGACGAATCTGCCAGTAGCCTACTATAATACTGGGGTTTATCTAATGTGATTGGTTCCTTAGCTGTAAGATAAACCCACTGAGTTACTGGGTCCTAAAATGATCTCATGACCCACTAACAGACTGCAACTGTCAATCTGAAAAATATCACACCATGTAACAACAAAAATTTCTTCTATTGCAAGCATCCGATATCACCACAAAGTAGACCAAATAACCTTGGAACTAAGTGACTAAAACTTCATTTTCCTAGTAAAACTATTAAATACCAGTGCTCTTCTCCTCTGTCTCCTACAAAAGAAAAAGAAAAAAAACAAAACCTGTTTCTGAAATAACAGCAGGGGCTCATACCTATGGTATCGCTGATTTCCAGATCAGTCAGTAAATGTCTTGAGACCTTAATCACCATCTGCATATTTCCAAAAAGCCCCTCAAAATCAATGTTTGGTATCTGAGAAAGGAAAACAAAACAAAGATGCATGGAAATAAAATTTATAGCATATCATTCACATTAGGAACATCTCTTCAAGGATGATACAAAAATTGCTCAAGGTTATCTTCACCACTCTCATGAGGTTTCCAGAATGGGAACATCTAACATCACCTTCAGTGTCACCTTTTGTCCTTGATCCAACTACTTTCTGCTCCCCCACCCCCATTACCATAGTGAAATGACTGTAGAACCAATTTCTGTAACTGCATAAAAATTGTACAATTATTATACTGAGACACAAACTCCACAAAGGACCCCAAATCTGATGGCACCATCCACTTCCTAGAGTTCTTGTGAGTGATTGCTCCAGGAGTCCACACCCAAGCTGAGCCCAGGTGGTCAAGTAACAAGCAACAGGACTGACTGTAAATCCCTAGGATACTGTTAACCTTCCCCCTGCCTCATCTCCAGCATTTAAGAGAGTGTCTAGCATACACACACTAGTAAGAGTTTCTGGAATAAACCTGTAAATCAGATGCTATAGCCAGGAAAACCATCACCAGACTTCATTATATTAATATTACTGCACAGCTTCCCAGTGAAGTGTAAAGTGCTAATTCTAGACTCACTAGAACTGTTTTCAGGGAGCCACAGAAACAGGAAATGTCCTAGGAGTCATTGCAGTAACTTAAGTTAGTAAGTTAATAGTGGACTTGATAAGTGACAGGATGGTGCTCCTGTACCCTAAGCCTTAGGCCTGGAGAACCATGTTCATGGCAAAGCTCACTTTCTCCCATAGTTCCCACCTGTGCCTGTTGCAGGGGTACCATGATCCGCTCAATACACATCTCCAGATCCCGGATGTAGTCTCTTTCCGTCTGAAGAAGTTCCTCTATCACCTTGGCTCTCTTCTCTAGCATCCTTTGCTCTGGGTTTTCAGTGGACACAGAACCAGAAGGGGCCATCAGTGATGAAGACTGGGAGGAGAGAAGCGTCATTTCTGGAAGGAAAAAGAGATCGGGTCAACAGCTATGAAAGCAGGCCTCTGCAACAGTTTGAGTTGAAAAGAGCACATTCTTTGAGAACCGAAGGTCTCATGATTGTTGACCATCAGGAAATCTGATCCCCAAGTCCATTCTAATCACAAAGATGAAGAGCTGAGCAAGCTTGCAGACAGAACTTCTCCCATCTGTGAGATACCATTTCTAGAATCTGTCCTAAAAACAAGCAGCTGGCTCATTTTATGAGGACAAACCAGTGGCCACAGCAACCTTGCAAAAGAGGCTGAAGGAGGTGCTGTTCTTATAAAGAACTGCTTTCACTTAGTTAGGTATAAAACCTGTTTCAGGAACTTAGCAGCAGAGATACCAAGCTGGAAGTTATAAACACTGATATAGCACATGTTAAAAAGAATATTATGGAAACATAACAATGCCAGCTAAAGGAAAGACAAGAACTAGGTAGGAATTGTCTGAGATCTGGGTGACTGTATGGCCTACCTTAACCCAATTACTGTGATGGCAGATTAACATTAGTATATAATAAAATATTTAAGAATTGTTTGGGCTTCCCTGATAGCTCAGTTGGTAAAGAATCCACCTGCAGTGCAGGAGACCCCAGTTCGATTCCTGGGTTGGGAAGATCCTCTGGAGGAGGGATGGGCTACCTACTCCAGTATTCTTGGGCTTCTCTTGTGGCTCAGCTGGTAAAGAATCCGCCTGCAATGTGGGAGACCTGGTTTCGATCCCTGGGTTGGAAGATCCCCTGGAGAAGGGACAGGCTACCCACTCTAGTATTCTGGCCTGGAGAATTCCATGGACTGCACAGTCCATGGCATCACAAAGAGTCAGACACGACTGAACGACTTTCACTTTCTTTCTCCCTGTCAAAACAATAATGAAGACTCACAAGCAAGTTCTGTTACTTCAAATATCCTGGAAGATACAAATGTACTATAAATATGAAGTTCTTTAACAGTATTTTCAATTAAAAAAAAAACCTCTGCAGCCACAATACATGATCTAAAACTGAAAACAAACGCATTTTGTCACTAGCTTTTACAAATACCTGTTACTTAGATATATATGATGAGAGATCTACTATCTTATACATAAAATGAGATGGCATTTATTTTAAATAGATGTTAAATGTTAAAATAAACAACAAAGAAAATTTCAACAGTGAAGCAATCTCTGCTGTTTATTTCAAATTCCTTAAGATCCACTTTAAAAAATGACAACTTTGGTAAGTAAACATACTAGTAAGTCTGAGTAGGATTACAAGAATATTTTTACTCAGATCTAAGAAGTGAAACGGAAAAGGCAATGGCACCCTGCTCCAGTACTCTTGCCTGGAAAATCCCATGGATGGAGGAGCCTGGTAGGCTGCAGTCCATGGGATCACTAAGAGTCAGACATGACTGAGTGACTTCCCTTTCACTTTTCACTTTCATGCATTAGAGAAGGAAATGGCAACCCACTCCAGTGTTCTTGCCTGGAGAATCCCAGGGACGGGGGAACCTGGTGGGCTGCCCTCTATGCGGTCTCACAGAGTCAGACACGACTGAAGGGACTTAGCAGCAGCAAGAAATGAAAACACAAGTGGTCAAACTATTAAACTTATGGAAAACTAAGCTTTCACAGCAGATTTTAGTCTCCAAAACTCTTCCCCATAGCCCCTTCACTAAGAATTTAGGAATTCCAATGTTTAAAAAGTGTTAACTCAGATTCTGGTTTCTAAAACCCATTCTCCAGTAAAAGGAACCAGAGTTCTTCGGAGAAATGGCTCTTTTCAAGGTAAGAGAAAGGTAGATGAGTCTGAAACATGGCAGAAAATAAGGACATGCTGAAGAAAATGATGGGACTGTGTTGAAAGGGCATGGAACCAAACTGAAGGGGCTCCCACTGGCCAAATCTATACAATTCAAGTATCAAAATAAATAAGCACAGCAATGAATTTTAATTGCACAGCAATGAATTTTAATCTGTTGACTAAAATAAGAATCCATGAACTCTCATCAATAATATATATGTACATAAATAAGCAGGGGAGAAGAATCCTCCTGACAATGCAGGGGACGTGGGTTCAATCCTTGGTCCGGGAAGATCCCACATGCCAAGCAACTAAGCCTGTGAACCACAACTACTGAGGTTGTGCTCTAGAACCAGCTAGCCACAACTACCAACCCTGAGTGCTGCAACTACTGAAGCCTAAGCTCCACAAGAGAAGCCATCACAATGAGAAGCCTGCACACCACAACAAAGAAGAGCGCCTGCTCAACCCAACTAGAGAAAGCCTTCACAAGGTAATGAAGACCCAGCACAGCTATTAACAAATAAATAAAATTATAAATAAATATATATATATATATACACACACACATACACACACATATATAAGAAATAACAGAATTAGGAAAAAAATCAGTATTTTGCAGCCATCAAAATAAAATTTAGTTCAGGCACAAGCCATCAATGGATGATTCCACTGTTAGTGATAGGGTTTTGATGGTGATCAGGATATCTGCATAGTCTAAAACTAGTTACTATACATTACTTATTCCAAAAATGAAAAAGTGACTCTAAAGTGGAGAAATGGGTAACACCAAAACCTACTATTCAAAAATTAACACTACCAGTTAAGGAAACAGACATCATGTGCTTCCAAATGTCATGTCAAGAAACAGCACAATATCCCTTATGTGGTATTCCAGTCCAAAAAACATAATCTGAAATAAATCTTGAGGAAACGTTACACAGACATAGGTATCTGTAACCTTCAAAATGTTACGTCATAAAAAACAGAAGAAGTCTAAGGACAAATCCCCAATTAAAGATAACTGAAGAGATGACAAGTAAAGGCAATGTGTGATCCTGAACTGAATCCTGATCTCAGGGAAAAAATGCTACAAAGGACATTAATAGGACAAACTAATGAAACTGGAATACAGTATAGACTGTAGATTGGCTACATGATTAAACCAATTAAAAATTTCCTGAAATGCACAGCTACATGCAAAAGAATGGAATCTGAACATTCTCTCACACTCTATGCAAAAATAACTCAAAATTAATTAAACATCTAAATGTAAAATCAGATATTATTCAACTCTTAGAGGAAAACAGGCAGAACACTCTTTGATACAAAGTGCAGCAATATATTTTTGGATCTGGTTCCTAAAGTAAATAAAAGCAAAAATAAACAAATAGGACAAATAGCTTTTGCACAGCAAAGGAAATCACTGAGAAAATGAAAAGCCAATATTTGAAAGGGGAAAATATTTGCAAATGATATGACAAAAAGGGATTAATACCCAACACATATAAATAGCTCCGACAACTCAATAATTTAAAAAAAAACCCACACAATTTTAAAATGGGCAGAACGGAATAGACATTTTTCCAGAGAGGAAATGCAGATGGTCAACAGCCATGGGAAAATATGCTCAACATCTCTAACCATAGGGGAAATACAAATCAAAACCACAACAAGGGATCACCTCACACTTGTCATAATGGCCATCACTGAAAAGAACAGAAATTAACACCTGTTTATGTACATAAATAAACAGGGGAGAAGAATCCGCCTGACAATGCAGCGGAGGTGGGTTGGGATGTGGGAAAAAGGGAACCCTCCTATACTGTCGGTGGAAGTGTAAATTGGTGCAGTCACTATGGAAAAGAGTATGGAGGTTTCTCAGAAAACTAAAAATAAAACCACCACATGACCCAGCAATTCCACTCCTGGGTATATATCTGAAAACAAAAACAAAAACGCTAATTCAAAAAGATACATGCACCCAGGAATAAAGCATAGCAGCATTATATACCATAGCCAAGACAAGGAAGAAACCTAAGTCTCCACTAACAGATGAATGGCTAAAGGAGATGTGGTATACATACACATATATACACAATGGAATACTACTTAGCCATTAAAAAAGGACAAAAATTTGCCATTTGCAGCAACATGGATGGACTTGGAGGGCATTATGCTAATGAGCAAGTCAGACAAAGACAAATACCACATGATATTACTTATATAATAGAATCTGAACAATACAACAAACTACTGATTATAACAGAAAAAAAGCAGCAGACTCACAAACACAGAGAACAAACTAATGGTTACCAGTGTGGGCAGGGAGGCGTGATGTAAGGATAGGAGAATAGGAAGTACAAACCATTGGGTATAGGATAGGCTCAAGGATGTATTGTACAACACAGGGAATGTATTCAATATTTGGTAGTAACTGTAAATAGAAAATAATGCTTAAAATTGTATAAAAATTTTTAATTTAAAAAAATTCCTGAAATGGCACATCTATTATGGTCATGTATGAAAATATCCATATTATACACTGGTACTTACCAAGGAGCACAATATATGCAACTTAGTCTCAAATAGTAAAGAAAAAAATTTCATGTGCGGGTGAGGGTATGGGTAGAGAAAGTGAGAGAATGAAAACAAAAAATGGCAAAATGTTAAATATTGGCAAATATAAATAAAGATCTGTATACCACTGCAATTTTCTATAAATTTGATATTATTCAAGATAAAATTTAATAAGACAAAATTTGAAATTTTCTTTCTGGAGCTACTTTTTTGGATAGAATGAATGACAAAATTTCAAGCCTTACTTCAGAGTGTTAAATTATGACTAAATTAATTGTAGTCTACATAACAATTTCAATGGCCTTATTTTAAATTTTATTTGCAATTTCAAACCTATGGAATTTCAGTCCCAAATACAGTTGCCAGAAGCAGCAAGTTGAGAAGAGAAATTTATTTTCAACACAGAAATTTATTTTTTCCCTTTCTGAAAAGGGAGAACACTTACTGAATTCCTACCATGTGTCAGGAGCTTTATATGTTATGTCCTTCTACTCATTTAATATTCACACCAAAACTCTGAAGTAGTATTATTATTCCCATTTAACAGATAAGAAAACCCAGGCTTTGAGAGACTGACCAATTTGTCCCAGCCTCTGTAGTGAGTAA